CCCCCACCGCCCCCCCCCCAACTAGGTTTATTGAGCTTCAAATGAGTGCAGTAGCTGCTGCGAATTGTTAAAAGATTGCCGCTGGGGAGACAAAGGCGGTCGTGTGTTCGTGGCGCTGCACGGCATCCCACAAACCCCATCGTGTGCCGTGCCGGCCTCCGTAGGGTGCTACTCGCTAACAGCACTCGCCCCAACAGTCTGTTGAGGCTATACGGGGGATCTTTGTCTTTGGGGTGGAGGGTGGTGGCTGAGTCGGGATTCACAGCGACATCAGAAGACGATGTCTTACCAATTTTCTGTGAATTAAGGGGACGATCATTTTGTTTTCACTAAGGTTACTTATGCGGCCGTCTGTTGAAGAGATTATCACAATTGGTTATTTTCTGTCCTTTGACAATCCACTGTTGGATCAAGACCTCCTCACTCCTTGTCGGCCATAGAGGTGGGGGGGGGGGGTTTCGGGGGTGTTTGACCATACTTCACTGCGCTGGTCAGTGCGGGCTGATTAAAAACAAAGGGGGGAGGGAGAGGGGGGTAAGATGTCACTCGCCGCTGATGTCCACTCAAGTGGGCCGGTTCATAGCGCAGTGCGCTAACCACTGCGCCACCGCTCCGCCTCGAGGCTATGGAACAACAATGGAAACGAATCAAGTGCTTCGGTGACGCTTGGGAAGATTCTCTTTTTGTTTTCAATGGGGCGGGGAGGTGGTGATAAATGATGAAATGTGTGAGTTATTGTGCGTGCGGGCCACTCTGTGTGCCGCGTCACATTTTCAAAATCCAATGCCCACTGGTGGAGATACAAAAGGCGGTCGATTTTTTGGTCTCAATACCTGCACTGCTGGCGATACCAACTGCAACGCGCGCTCGGCATGTCATGCACTAAATATGAAGGCTGAGTCAACCTAGGGGAGAGCCGTGCCGCGTAGAGTTTACTCACCCATGGGCCCACAGCGAATCTTGAGCCTGGCTCTGTGAGATTCGGGCATTGACACTGATGTCTAGATTTATGGTATCCAGATAATCCGACAAATCGCTAACCTTAAACACCCATTCGTTTATAAAAGTTGAAGGCGGTATAGTACTATAGTAATAGAGCAAGTGCAGAATCACTGAACGGGAATTGATAGCTTGAGAGCATTTAGCGTGGGGCCCTTTAAAGTGCAGGGCCCGTAGCTACTACATATGTAGCTACTTTTGCTACTGGGATAATCCGGCACTGCTTTAGATATCACTCGCCACTGATGTTCGCCGTGTCTTGGAATTCAAACTCAGATGACATCGGCAGGGCCTCCGTATGGGGGGGGGGGGGGTGGGGGGGTGCGGAGCCCGGGACAAATCACGCCGTGCCCTCGGGACGGCTATGGTCATCGGACAGCGCAAGCGCCACCACTGTGCCGATGCTCTCGCCCCAACGCGCTCTGTTTATTTGCGTGCGCGCGCGCGCTCTAACAATGACATTCGAGGAGAGAACGCGTCCAAGTGGACGAGCGCCGCGGAGATGGAGCGACGAGATTGTCTCGCGTCCCGCAGGAGCGCCGTGGGTGGTGTGAGCAGCGCCGGACCGTGAGGGGTGGTCGCCTTCATCCAGCAGTGGATAGACCATGGCTGGCGCTGTTGCTGCTGCTGCTGATGATGATGATGATATTCTTGTATTGGATCCTTGGAATGTTTCAGTTTCGTTATGAGGTATAACCCTGTGAGCCATGCGGCTCTTGACTCGGGTGCAACCGCAACAAAACAAAAACATGAACAAGAAAACATCTTAAAGTGACTACACGCAGCAGAAAAATCCAGGAAAAAAGACAGCAAAGTCTTCCAGAAAAAAACACCGTATATCAACGCTGTGTGCAAAAATCCCAGTGGGATGCAAGTCAAACAATAACAACCATAAGACATTTTAGAATGTTGCTTCGCGTTTGGACAACACTTAAACGTGTGATACTGCGCTGGAAGTGGATCCACATCTGAAACGTCTATTGCTTACTGGTTCCTGTGTAGGGCGGTATGATTACCGAATGTGTCGAATTAGGTATTTTGTTTTGCGTGGCTTTTTCTTATACGTCTCGCTAAGCACGTGCCGTTCTTGTAGTGTTAGTAGTAGCTGCTGCTGTTGTTGTTGCTGCTGCTGTTGTCAATTTAGTCTCAGCTGCACACGCTCTCTCTCACTTTCTCTCTCACGTTAACCCTGAGCTCATTATCCAGCACCAGTCAATGACCGTGCCCACGTGAACGCAATGCCACTGCACTCGACACGCGCAGCGGTGTTCATCTCCAACGTGGGGCTGGCCGTGTTGCTGCCATCGGCGAGTACGATTGCCGTATTCTCACGATTATAAGACGCTTCGGAAAGTAAGACGCACCCCGCCCCCCACCCCTAACCTACCCCACCGCGCAACAATTTCCATTGTTGTGCCCGGTATCAAATGAAGGTATAGAAAATCACACACACACACACAGCGATCGGATTTAAAAGACGGAGCAGCAGCCCCAACGTTTCGTGAGTCTCATCAATCCGGAGAATGCGGTATTCGCATTGATTAAAATAAAACGTGACGACCAATGCTTGATCGATCCACTGCTGGATGAAGGCTGCTCCCTCCCCCCGACGCCGGACCATCGATTGCGACGGTCGTTTCACCATACTTCACCATACTTCACCATACTCACCATACTTCACCATACTTCACCATACTCACCATACTTCACCATACTCACCATACTTCACCATACTTCACCATACTCACCATACTTCACCATACTTCACCATACTCACCATACTTCACCATACTCACCATACTTCACCATACTTCACCATACTCACCATACTTCACCATACTTCACCATACTTCACCATACTTCACCATACTCACCATACTTCACCATACTCACCATACTTCACCATACTTCACCATACTTCACCATACTCACCATACTGCACCATACTTCACCATACTCACCATACTTCACCATACTTCACCATACTTCACCATATTTCACCATACTTCACCATACTTCACCATACTTCACCATACTCTCCATACTTCACTATACTCACCATACTTCACCATACTTCACCATACCTCACCATACTCTCCATACTTCACTATGCTCACCATACTTCACCATACTTCACCATACTCACCATACTTCACCATACTTCACCATACTCACCATACTTCACCATACTTCACCATACTCACCATACTTCACCATACTCACCATACTTTACCATACTTCACTATACTCACCATACTTCACCATACTCACCATACTTCACCATACTTCACCATACTTCACCATACTCACCATACTTCACCATACTCACCATACTTCACCATACTTCACCATACTCACCATACTTCACCATACTTCACCATACTCACCATAGTTCACCATACTTCACCATACTTCACCGTACTCACCATACTTCACCATACTCACCATACTTCACCATACTTCACCATACTCACCATACTTCACCATACTCACCATACTGCACCATACTTCACCATACTCACCATACTTCACCATACTTCACCATACTCACCATACTTCACCATACTTCACCATACTCACCATACTGCACCATACTTCACCATACTCACCATACTTCACCATACTTCACTATACTCACCATACTTCACCATACTTCACCATACTCACCATACTGCACCATACTTCACCATACTCACCATACTTCACCATACTTCACCATACTCACCATACTTCACCATACTTCACCATACTCACCATACTGCACCATACTTCACCATACTCACCATACTTCACCATACTTCACCATACTCACCATACTTCACCATACTTCACCATACTCACCATACTGCACCATACTTCACCATACTCACCATACTTCACCATACTTCACCATACTCACCATACTTCACCATACTTCACCATACTCACCATACTTCACCATACTTCACCATACTCACCATAGTTCACCATACTTCACCATACTTCACCATACTTCACCGTACTCACCATACTTCACCATACTCACCATACTTCACCATACTTCACCATACTCACCATACTTCACCATACTCACCATACTGCACCATACTTCACCATACTCACCATACTTCACCATACTTCACCATACTCACCATACTTCACCATACTTCACCATACTCACCATACTTCACCATACTTCACCATACTCACCATACTTCACCATACTTCACTATACTCACCATACTTCACCATACTTCACCATACTCACCATACTGCACCATACTTCACCATACTCACCATACTTCACCATACTTCACCATACTCACCATACTTCACCATACTTCACCATACTCACCATACTGCACCATACTTCACCATACTCACCATACTTCACCATACTTCACCATACTTCACCATACTTCACCATACTCACCATACTTCACCATACTTCACCATACTCACCATACTTCACCATACTTCACCATACTCACCATACTGCACCATACTTCACCATACTCACCATACTTCACCATACTTCACCATACTTCACCATACTCACCATACTTCACCATACTTCACCATACTTCACCATACTCACCATACTTCACCATACTTTACCACACTTCACCATACTTCACCATACTCACCATACTTCACCATACTTCACCATACTTCACCATACTCACCATACTTCACCATACTTCACCCACGCTGGCCTTGCACGTGTGCACGAGGGGCCCCGTCTCTCTTTAGCATATGCTAATCCACTCAAAGAGCTCCCTGCAGGTCTGTCGGCCAGCTCCATGTGTCATTACATCAGCGGCATTGTTTCGAATCGGCCCCTGCAAATGTCACCCCCTCCCCTTCAACCTCACCACCAAACACCAACCACCCCCCGTGAATGTACCACCTCCTCCTCTCCTAGCACCCCCACAACCACCAACCCCCCCCCCCCTACCGTGAGTGTCCCACCTCCTCTGCTCGCACCTCCCCCCCCCCCACCCACCACGAGAGACCACGTGCAATCGGAACATCTCACGGTGGCCGCATCACCTCATTTGAATTTCACAGTCGCGCCGTATAAAGACAGTGGTGGCACCCGCTTCCGTCAGGTCACTTTGGCTCGAGACCACAAACCAAAAGCCTCGAAGCCCTTCGCCTCCTTCAACCCTCGACAGACAAGAAGCAGACACCGGCCACCGCCTAACCCCCCTACATCCCCGTCCTTTTTCCACGGCGTCACGATGCAGGGCCCTTCGATCATCCACCGCGCCCTAGGAGGACCCTTCTATTACTCTGCTCTCGTGACGGCTCCGCCGATGATGCTACCCCCATCCGCAGCGTCTCAGGTCCTTTACTTCGCACGTCCGGTCGTGACCACTCGGAGCCACCCTCCTTCGCCTTCCTCTTCCCCACTTCCCCCGGCACTCGCCGCCGCCGCCGCCGCTCTTCCGCCACCCCCGCGTCATCCTCGCCCGCCTGCAGCCGCCGAGGACACCTCGGCCGGGAAGAGGCCCTCGTTCAGCATCGAGGCGATCCTCGCTCGCTCGTCCGACTCCGAGTCGAGGAGGGCTCCTCGCGACCGCGCGGTCGCGGCATGGACGCGGCCTGCACAAGCGGGGTCCGACTCGAGCACGCAAGAGCCTGGGTCCGCGGGCTACCTTCGAGGGGTCCCTCCGTCCCCCTTGATGTACCCCGTTTCCGCGCTGGGATATTACCCCTGCTCGTGCCACGGCACGGTCCTGCGCGGCCGCGGTGAGTATCTTCACCGTCGTCATCTTCATCATCACGGTCGCGAGTCTTCATCATCACGGTCGCGAGTCTTCATCATCACGGTCGCGAGTCTTCATCATCACCGTCGTCATCTTCATCATCACGGTCGCGAGTCTTCATCATCACGGTCGCGAGTCTTCATCATCACGGTCGCGAGTCTTCATCATCACCGTCGTCATCTTCATCATCACGGTCGCGAGTCTTCATCATCACGGTCGCGAGTCTTCATCATCACGGTCGTCATCTTCATCATCACGGTCGCGAGTCTTCATCATCACGGTCGCGAGTCTTCATCATCACGGTCGCGAGTCTTCATCATCACGGTCGCGAGTCTTCATCATCACGGTCGCGAGTCTTCATCATCACGGTCGCGAGTCTTCATCATCACGGTCGCGAGTCTTCATCATCACGGTCGCGAGTCTTCATCATCACGGTCGCGAGTCTTCATCATCACGGTCGTCATCTTCATCATCACGGTCGCGAGTCTTCATCATCACGGTCGCGAGTCTTCATCATCACGGTCGCGAGTCTTCATCATCACGGTCGCGAGTCTTCATCATCACGGTCGCGAGTCTTCATCATCACGGTCGTCATCTTCATCATCACGGTCGCGAGTCTTCATCATCACGGTCGTCATCTTCATCATCACGGTCGCGAGTCAGCAGCAGCAGCGTTCAACACTCTCGGTCGCTGAGAGTAACGTTCAAAAAGTAAAACGTGAGAAATTATTGATGCATGAAAGACACATCTAGCTCTGGAAACCCGTTTATTATAAATATGATTACTGCTGCTGCTGATGATTATCGGCAAGGTGATGCGTGTGGTGTTGCGTCAATTCTCGGAAGCTAAACGTGAATTAGCCCAGTTGCTCGTGGTGAGCGCCGTTACTTCTAATGGGAGACGGCCCCTGAAAGATCAGGGGTGTTGTATAACTCTGGTTGCGAAGTGGCTGTAGAGAGGTGGTGGTACAGCAAGCAAGAGATGTTTGAATCCATCTGTGCGGAAATTGTAGTGTGTTTTACTCGCGTATGCGTGTTGGGTTGTCTCCGGGTTCCCCGCTTTCCTCCCACGCGAAGCCGAGATCTCATCAATGGAATTGGCCAAACATCACAATCTGGCAGAGACCCTCCTGCAAAATAGCCTCCAGACTTTCCTGAAAATAAAAAGGGCATTACTGTGGTCATTCACGATGATCGATATATCGGGTTGTAGTCGCTGGAGGTGCGTGCCTCCAGGTTGAGGAGGCTACAAACTCGTCCCCACGTTTTCCAGTCCCAGGTGATGCACAAAAGTAAGGGATGATGATGATGATGCTGTTGCACCAGAGATGCTCAGCGTCCGTAAGACCAGTTCTTCTGGGAAGCTGCATGGGCGTCTGATTGAGAAAGGAGAAAGTTCTGATTGAGGAAGCCACTGACAGACCAGTTGCTACTCCCAATGCGCCTCTAAAACAAATCCCGGTATGGATCTCGTAGCCGATTTAACTTGGAACCACGAGACGCCACTGTCTATGCCAACCAAAGGTGCATCACCCAGTCTCTTATAGCTTAATAACAGTTCATGGGCCCAAACTAGCCGTGTAATAAGACGGTAACCACCCTAAGGTGCTCCCACCCTCCCCCCGTGCCAAGCCACTGCTGGGTAAGCTCCCCTCCACGCCGTGCGGTTCGCGAGGGTTACTTGACCATACTTCACCACGCTGGTCAGTCGGTAGTGCAGAGTGCGCATATTCAATTTGCTGCACGGCTGTCTGCTTGCCCAATTACGGAGCAGAGCCGCGCAGCCGCTGCCGTGGACGGTGTTGAAGCCTGCCCCGAGCGCTGTCCAGGCTCAGAATATTCCGCTCAAGCTTCCGAGATGTGACGAGAGAGAGAAAGAGAGATGGAGCGCATGCCGACTGATTTGCTCATCGGGCAGGACTACGTCCATATAGGCCGAGCAATGTTTACTCGTGTGTGACTTGTTCATCAGCTCAATTGCATCATGGACACGCGCGTACTTTCCGGGCCACAACAGTAAATGTATTTAATCAGGGAAGCGTTAGCGACTGCAGCGAGGAGGTCATAGTCATCATTAGTGTGACGTTTTATATATATTCAGTATATACACCCGTTGGCGTGACTGGGCTTAAGTAGACACTGAACTCATGGAGCGCAGGAGATGCATGGACGGCATGGAGAGTTATGCACACAGCTCTACAATGGCATTCTAAATGTTGGCAAGAAGGGTTGAAATACTTTTTTTCGATATGATGATGACAGGTGGTATGCCACTTAAGTAAAATCGTTTAAGGAATAGGTTTTACCCTTTTAACTGGCACAAAAACTGACACCTTTATTCAAGGCATCATGTTTGCAATAACCACAACACAAGCAGTCAAAATGCAAACAAAAAAGACAACTCTGATAATATATACTCTGATAGTGCGCTGTTTTTGAGTTGTACGCCTTTTGGCGTCTTCTGGTCCAACACCAATGGAGACTAGGCTCTAAGAAAAGCTGTCTCGGGTGTGGACCAATTAAATTCAAGGACAGTGCATATTATCAGAGTTGTCTTTTTTGTTTGCATTTTGACTGCTTGTGTTGTGGTTATTGCAAACATGACGCCTTGAATAAAGGTGTCAGTTTTTGTGCCAGTTAAAAGGGTAAAACCTATTCCTATATCTTGTTTCTGGCAAAGGAGGTCTCATAATGTAAAAAAATAAAATCGTTTAAGTTAAGAATTATAATACAAAAAAACAGCGGTATTTTATTCAATTAATACAAAATAAAATCGTTTACAGCCCTCTATCAATCCGCTGTTGGATGAAGGGCTCCCACACTTTTCGGTTATGGGCGGTTGTGTGACCATACTTCACCGCAATTGGTAAAGTTGGGGAAAGAATGGGGGGGGGGGCGTTAGGGGCTGGGGCGAGAGGTGTGGCCAGAACCGCTTCAGATGTCACTCGCCACTGATGTTACTCGTGGCCGGGGAACTTGGTTTCGTCCCTGGGACGCGTTCACCGACCCACGTGGATTGGTGAAGTAGCAACCCGCGAGACGGGCACCCCGCGTATGTAGTTGGGAGGGAGAGTAGGCTGGGGGAGGGGAGTGGTTCCTCATCCAGCAGCGGATTGACTTCAAAATTAAAGATCCTCCGACGAGTACTTTTTTGTGCATTCGCAGTCGACTCCGGGCGCTACTAACCCCCGAGGTGGACTCAGCCTCAAATGAGTACCCGGTGCTGTGTGTAGTAAACTCGCCACGAGGGAGACAAAGGCGTCCGGGCGTGGCGTTGCCCTGCCCCCCTTCCCCCTGCAATCCGCGCCCTGTCCTCCCCACCCTCTCGTGTGCCGTGCCAGCAGCCTGCCTGAACAAGTGCGCGCCAAGCGGCCACGTGCCCCAACAATCTGTTCAGACCCGACTGCGGCACCTGGTGGCCTTTAGTGGGGCCCCTGACGTGCCCCCCCCCCCCCCCTCCGACAGTTGCACAACAGACGTGACAACAAATGCGTGGCGGCCCTCACGCTGATGTCTTATCGGCAAAACTGCTGCTCCCCCCCCCCACCCACCACTTCACCCCCTCCCCGTCCCTCGGAGACTGTAGTGAAGATCACTGATCCAATGTATATGGACGGTGGTGGGATCTTTGTCCTCTGCAGGGGATGCGTGCCCAGCGCACCGCGCGGCGCTGCACGGCCCCTCGGCCCGTGGCCGAGGCAGCAAATCGAAGCGCCTGAGGACCATCTTCACGCAGGCGCAGCTGGAGCGCCTCGAGAAGGAGTTCGCGCGCCAGCAGTACATGGTGGGCACTGAGCGCTACTTCCTCGCCTCGTCGCTCCATCTCACCGAGGCACAGGTACTGCCGCTGCCGCTCATCCCATGAATGTAAATGTATCAAGGCCGTAACAAATGGAGTCAACATTGGGGGGGGGGACAAAATCTTCCTGGAGGTCTGGGGGTCCATCCCCCCCCCCCCCAGAACAAAATCTTAATTTGAAAACGAATTTCCTGCCTAAAATATATAAAAAAAAATTCACGAACAAGTAGGATGGACTATTTTTTTTTTACAATAATGTGTAATAGTGTATTGTTTTTATTACATTGCACTGTTTTTTCTTTTTTACCTTTTCTTGTTTCATTGTATGTAATGGCAGAGATTAGGGATTAATAAAGTACAACCATAACCACAATCATATAAACATACATCTATTTTATAGCAATATATTGGGAGGGGACATTTATATTATAATCACGGCCTTGAAGTGTATTCATTCGTCGACCAATGCGTGTGGCAGTGGGACAGTCAGCGCGCTGCGCTACGAATCTGGGGACCCGAGTTCACGAGCAACACCGGTGACGATTATCTGAACCGGTCCTGGGCCTCCCCGAGGTCAACTCAGCCTTAAAATAAGTACCTGGTGTGGCGTGTAACATCGCCAGTGGGAAGACAAAGGCGGCCGGGCGTGGTGCTGGCCACCCACCTCCTCGTGTGCCGTGCCGACCTTCATCGGTGCTCTCTAACAGCACTTGCCCCTACAGTCTGTTGCAGGCTATACGGGGGAGCGGGGGGGGGGGGGGTCTTTGTCTTTGTTTGTGGGGAGCGAGAGAGCGCAACGGTTGGCGCGCCGCGCTCCGAACCCGGCGAGCCGGGCTCGATTCCCGCTCACGGCCACCACTCTCAAACCTCGTTCCGCCGTGCGCGTGCAGGTGAAGGTTTGGTTCCAGAACCGGCGCATCAAGTGGCGCAAGCAAAGCTTCGAGCAGCAGCAGGCGCGCCTCGCCAAGCTGGGCCTGGCCCCGCTGCCCACTCCGACCTCAACTCCGGTAGCCGCCCAGATCCCCGGGCCCTCGACACACGGCGGGGTCAGCGGCAGCGGCAGCAGTAGCGGCGGCAGCGGCAGCGAGAGCGACGCGGAGTCGGAGCGGGCGTCGCCGCCAGACACCGGCGCATCGCCCCGTGATTGAGGCGGAGGAAGAGGGGAGGAAGGGGGGCAGGGGGGGGGGGGGTGCGTTGGGAGGAAGAATGGGGGGGGGGTGCGTGATGAGAAGTGACGCGTGCACTTGTGCCACTTGGGTTTAGAGTTCCCATACAGGCGCCTTTGGAGAATCGTTCCCGTTCTTGGTCTTCATGTGTTTATGCTGCTGCTGCAGCTGCTTTCGCTTCTTCATATTCACATTCATGCTTTGAGTTCATCTTCAACTGCTGCTGCGGCTTCATTGTCTGCATCTTCTTTGATCGCATCATCGGCTCCTTCTCCATCATCGTCTCCATTGCTCAGTTTCTTATTCAGCTGCTTCGGCAGTTGCCTCTTGAGCTACTTTTTTTACGATATCTTATTCGGCTTGTTCTTTTTTAATCATCAGCTGCTTCTCCAACGTCTTCTATCTTAATGTTTATTTTATTTAACTGCTTGATGTTCAGCATCTGCTTCATCGTCAGCTTCATCTTCCGCTCTATCTGTCAATGTCTATTTATCGTCACCTTACCAACTTACGTTGCCGGAGGTGCGGACATTGGGACCCAAACAAAGCCAAGGCGAATGGTTCCTCGTCAAGATGCCTCAAACCCTTTGATTGCAGTCCCACCAACCAAACACCTCTTCATTCTCGGCGTCGCATTGGACCGTGATAGCCTTAATTGCCTTCAGCATTTCAATGTATCCTTTATTGCGTCCTTGTTTAACCCGTGAAAATACGTCTGTGTATATGTATATCCCATAGAGGTAGTAGAACATACCCCCCGTTGAACGGAGGGGTGTACATATTGTATATTATAGTTGCTATGATTATTACTACTACTACAGAGCTACTACAACTGTACCTGCTATCTTGTGAGTTAATTAAATAGAATAATGTAGTGGTGCATTGTGGGCAGGTGGAGCTTACAATCTTTGTAACTACTGCATTATGTGTGCGTTTGTTTTATACTGCAGATTAATAGTAATAAATATAGTTGATTCTACCTGTGTATGTGTGTTTCTAGAAGCAATTTAATGTTCCATCATGTATGAGCAATGTGCTGAGGATTGTTATTATTACAATGACGATATTTCGCCTTCACACAAAACACGCATGTCAATTGCTTCACGACAACACTGTGAGTTCAAACGGCCACGTAAATAGATCGTCGCCCAGCATTGGTCTATCCACTGCTGGATGAAGGCAATTCCCCCACCGCAGTCTCCATCCTTCACGCTCCCGCGATGATGCAGCAATTCACCTCGCTCATCCACCTGCGCTGATCTTGTCGATTCGTTTCCGCGGTGGTCGTTCCATCCTTCAGCTGCCATTCCGTCACCAGGCTCCTTCAGTCTGGCACTGTCTTGACGTGGTGGTGGTGGTGGTGAAGATGGAGGCCACTCAAGACTTGAGTAGTTGTGCTGGATATTGTGTGTGTGTTTACTTGTCCTTCCCCCGCACCTCCGATGAGCATGGTTGGCTACGTACGGTGCGAAAGAAGTTCTACATATTTAGACAAACAGTGTTACTTTCAGCCCGCAATGACCAGCGTGGTGAAGTATGATGAAACAATTCCCATGACCGACACGCATCGATGGTTGAGAAGAAGGAGAAGAAAATAATAATAATAATATCCTCACCAAGCAAATGTAACATTTCAAGTAACTATCAGCATGCGGTAGCCCGCGAAATGTTTCAAAGGTTGAAAAGGGGTCCGCAAACTGGCCTAGGGAAGGGGTCGGCTACCAAAAATAATAACAAGGGCCATTTGTTTTTTTTTTCTAATTCGGTACAAAAGTCAAAGTTTCAAGAGCCGCAATGCACGAAGCCAGTCGGTTAAGAGCTCCGAAGCCGAAGGTCGCCTCTACGCCTTGACACGCAGCAGGGGGCCTTCGCGACCAACATGAGTCATAGTCAAGGTTTTTTGAGCTGGATCGCACGACGTTTCGCTGGTAATTACATGCATCGTCGTCGGGCGATTTGCCAGAATAGTGAAGCAATCCACCTGGTTCCGGTCGTACTCAAAATGTAAATGTTGTGTGTTTACTCTCCAACACACCGGTGGGCTGAAGTGGTAACTAATTGGCGTTTGTTTACGTGACAAATCCCTAATTGGCTGCGTCGGGTGGTGGAGGGTTACGACGCATTTATACTTACGCGATCTAACCCAAAAACATTTATTATGCCTACGCCTTGTCTTGCGTATATCCATAATATTCTGAAACATCATCATCATCATACAGGAAAGCGCGTTCGCTTTGTCATGCCTAGCCGATACACTTTGTAAAGGCGCAGCCCTGCAATTGCTCGCTGTCGCCATTGCTGGCGAAATGGCGTCCACTCAGAATTAGAATGTTTATTTAGACCGGAGGAATCCGTTGAGCTATGAAGATGTCCAGAGGAAGCTCCAGAGAGCACCCCTACAGCGAAGTTTGGTCTACTCTTCCAAGCTGACTAGACGTCTCGGAGTACCCACGCTTTACCCCACCACACGCGGCCTGCAAAACGACTCACCGTGGTGTACACATTGACTGCGCTTCCTGCATACTGCTGGGTGGCCACAGGCGGTGGTTGGGATTTGCTTTAAATAAAAATGTTGCTGCGCATTGTTGCAACTGACCGCGCAGAGAGATCGAATCGAACTTGCGACGACCTCTGCGTTTTAAAACCGAGTGTGCAAACCAGTGCACGAGGGCATAATCCCCACATACGTATATAAACTATTTAACAACTATTTATTTTTATTTTACCAGGTACGGCCCACCACTGGGCTACGTAGCTCTTTTCCAGAAGCGACCTGGCCACAAATGATAGCTCAATGAAGTGGCTTATCATGTGGAAATGCATTGTAGCCGAATAGTCGAAGCGCACCGTGATTCTAAATGTGGAGGGGAAAAACCGGACGACCCGGAGAAACATCCACGCGACCACGGGGAGAGAGACACGCAGACTCCAAATATACAAGCTTCGGGGTAGGGATCAAACCCACGACCTCCTGTGTACCAGGCGAAGTAAGTTAACATCTCACCGCCGTGGCACAATCGTTTTTTTACTTGTGATGTAAATGAGTTTTCGGCTAGATTGTTGGCACACTTACATGGTTTGCTTGAAAATACTGTATATATTGTGATTATAATGGTGAAATTAAAATGTCCACGAATATAAAACTGTTTCGATTGCAATGTCACAGCTGTTCATCTGTAAACTTTATTAAAACGTCCTAGTTTATTTTTTTAATAGGCCACACAGTCAAAGGGCGACCTCCAACTATAACATCAGCTTCTTTGACTCTCTGCTCTTAGGACGGGTCATTGTCCGAAAGGTCAGCCTATTGAATATATTATTTGCTTATCAGTCAATGTTAATTAAGCATTTCGTCAGGACTCATAGGGTTATTTAATTTATCTTAACACTGGCATTAAACATAATACATCGTTTATTTATTATGTTAATAATGTTGCTGTTATCGTTACTAATATCCTGTGGGGTCAACTCAAATAGGTAGTTTACAAAACTCGACCGAGAACCCTGAATAAATTGAGACGATACATAATTGATTAATGTTCAAAGATTGCACACCCGTAATCTTTAAACAAAGTTCTACATTTATTTAAAAAAGAGACTTCACACATGCATTAAATGTCAATTTTGAACATTTGTTCAAATAAATGAAATAACCTCATGTGATTTGTTAAAGTAAATAGAATAACCCTGTGTGTCCCGACTTCTGGGCCACCCTGTATAATGGTACATCGAACTGGGACCCCGTGGCATCAAGAACCCGTCTTTGGCTGAAAGATCGACAGTTCAGCAACATTGCTTCAAACAAACCTGACTCTTATAAAAAAAAAAGGTGTTTGGGTTAGATCGCGTAAATATAAATGTGTCGTAACCCTCCACCACCCGACACAGCCAACTAGTAAGGGATTTGTCACGTAAACAAAACGCAAATTAGCTACTACTTCAGCCCACCGGTGTGTTGCAGAGTAAATCCACAACACTTACATCGATTTTCCAAATCGCCCGATGATGCTGGATGTGATTACCAGCAACACGTCGTACTCCTCAAATTGTAAATGTTGTGGATTTACTCTCCAGCACACCGGTGGGCTGAAGTAGTAGCGAATTAGCGTTTTGTTTACGTAACAAATCCCTTACTAATTGTCTGTTTTGGTGGGGTGGAGGGTTACGACACCTTTATACTTACACGATCTAACCCAAAAACCTTTATTATGAATATTGGTGGCGAAAGCCTACGTGGTAATCCTGACTCTTCTGATGAGACACTGCGTGTCGAAACCGGACAGACGGACAGACGTAGTGACTGGAACGAAGACACACGGCTGGAGGGACACACCATGTGCCCGGATATTGCAACAAGTTGCCTCTGGGCTGCCTTTAGAAGAAATAACCAAGTACTAATTTGGCTCAAGCCGAGACTAATGTGACTTCAGAAAAGCGATTACTCGTAAAAATGAAGAGGCGGCCCATCACGTGAATTAATCGTTCAGTACATGGTCACGTGCGTCCATTCATTCGCCGAGATTGCGTTGAGAGCCCACCGCTAATTACAGCGACCAGGGTAAGATTTAGAAGAGGGCACCGGGGTGGTGGCTGTGCAGTGGGGGGAGGGAGTGGGGGGGAGTGCCTGTGTGTTTGTGTGTGTGAAGGAGGCGACCCGGGATCGATTCCCGCTCACGGCCAACACCCAGTGACGATTATCTGAACCGGTCCTGGGCCTCCCCTAGGTCGACTCAGCCTCAAATGAGTACCTGGTGTGGTGTGTAAACATCGCCACTGGGGAGACAAAGGTGGTCGGGCGTAGTGCTGGCCACCCACACTCTCGTGTACCGTTCCGGCCTTTATAGGTGCTCGCTAACAGCACTTGCCCCGACAGTCTGTTAAGGCTATATGTGCAGGAGACTCGTGAAGGACGCTGCTACTAGGCAGTTGGAGGCAGTCGCCCTCCAGCAACAATGGAGGGCAGAGGAGCGATGCTCACAACAACGAGCGGAG